GTAGAAAAATTGGAATTGTTATCCATTGCTGGTGAGAATGCAAAATGATATAGCTACTATGAAAAACAGTTTGGCAGTTCCTCTAAAATAGGAACACAAAGCTACCATATGACCCAGCAATTACACTCGTAGTTACATACCCAAGACACTTGTAGGCAGTGATGCAAACAGACACATTGTACACCATGTCCTTTGGAGAACTATTCACAATAGTCAAAATATGGGGACAAACTAAATGTCCATCAATAGATGAATGGATAACCAAAATTAATATATATAAAACTAAAAACCAAACCCACTGCCATCAAGTAGATTCTACCTCACAGTGACCCTGTAGGACACAGTAGAACTGCCGCATTGGGCTTCCAAGGGTTTAACTCTTTATGGAAGCAGACTGCCACATCTTCCTCCTACAGAGAGGCTGGTGGGTTCAAACTGCTGACTTTTTGGTCAACAGCCAAACACTTAATTGCTGGGCTACCAGAGTTCCTAAAATATATACATTGAATATATGTTTGGTTACTTCATGCTGCTCTAATAGAAATACCACAAAAGGGTGGCTTGAACAAATAGGAGTTTATTCTCTTACAGTTTTGGAGGCTAGAAGCCCGAGTTCAAAGTGCCAGGCTCTAGGGGCTGGGTGAAAGCCCCTTGACCTTAGGCTTCACTTCTGCTTCTTGCTCCTGGGCCACTGAAGCTGGAAGCTTTATTCACTCAGGCAGCTGCTGGCTGCCGAGGCCGATAAACTCAAAGTAGACAGGTAAAAAGGCACAGTGCTGATGTTATCAAAGCACATGGCAGGCCATTGATTCAAGTCCATTAAGAGTCCCAAGATCGCCAGACAGCATGGCAGGCTGCTGAATAACTAATGACTTGGCTGCATGCAGGATTCAAACATGCCAAAAGCTAGAGACCTTCCTCAAAGTTGCTTCTTATATACTGGAAGCAGACCACATCCCAAAAGCAGCTACTCAACTGCTCCAGTAGATTCAATCATAGAGTTGATTACCAGTCTCACTATAGGGAATAACCATATCCAGCTGCTAGCCATTCGACCAGGCCCAGCTGAGTTGACAAACAACCTTAACTACCACTGTATACATAACGTGTACATACACACACATACAATGGACTATTATATTACTCAGCTATAAAGAGAAATGAAGCCCTCATACATGCTACAAAATGGATGAACTTTGAAAACATTATGCTGAGTGAAGTAAATTGATTACAAAAGACACACTGTATGATTTCACTTATATGAAATATCTAGAATAGGTAAACACATAGAGATCAAAGTTTATTAGTGGTTACCAAGGGTAGAAAGGAAAGGAAAAAAGAGAGTCATTGTGTGGTGGTTATGTTTGTGTGTCAACTTGGCTGGGCCTGGTTGAGTGGCTGGGCAGCTGGTGATAGTTATTCCCCATGATGAGACTGGTAATCAACTCCATGGTGGGATCTATCACAAGCAGCTGAGTAGCTGCTGTGGGTGTGTGCTCTGTTTCCTGTACATAAGAAGCAGCTTTGGGAATGGTCTCTAGCTTATGGCACACTTGGACCC